TTGCATCATAATTCCCCCCACTAAGCATTTATATTGCACATAATTACATGCCCAGCGATGCCGTCTATAAAAAGGCAAACGGATATGGGATATGGGATATTCCCACGCACCCGCAAACAATGCAAATTGAAGGCCACATAAATGTAAAGGGCTATCTTACAGATTTTCAGGAATCCCTTAAACATCAATGAGGTATATCTAAATAGGAATCTTAAGAAAAATAATTTTTTCAACACTCCGAGTTCTCGATGGACTTATTAAATATTTTAAAATACCTTAAAACAATACAAATATTTTATAGAATAATTTTAATATTTTTGTTCGTTAAAAAAAAGCGCAATAAATATTTTTCCAGTAATTAAAAATATTTTAATATTTATTCAAAGCTTAGAACGATTCCAGATATGAATTTCCTTGAAAAATAAACCAAAAGACAAATACTAGATTTTTTTAAAATCCAACTAACCATTTGTAGAAACAGATTTTATCCTTATTGGGGCAATACAAAACGAAATCGGAGTTTTTAATGGCGGCGGTTCCCCTCAGTGGGACATTCAAATAGCATTGCAGGGGAAAATTGGGGGTGGTGGTGATAAAAATGCGTGTAAATGTTTATGCCGCCGGCAAGCCAGGACAATTGTCCTGCGGGGCGCCAAGCCGAGCTTATGGCCCAAACCATTATGGACAACTGCAATGGCGACAATAACGCGTCGTTGATACTTCGCACCTGAGACCCCTTCGCCTTTTTTTCTTCACAGGTGGTTGGCGCCGCGCCCAGAAGTATGCCGTTAAACAGGAAAATATCCAACCGCCATACAGGACCTCCAACGAAATGCGAAAGGCTGCCAAAAAAAGTGAAATGGCTGCATGTGCGAGTGGCGAAGGGGTACGAATATAACAATTCGCTGACACAGCGGCCTGCAAATGTAACACAAATTTTGCGGTTTTGCGGCCATCCCATTTAAGCAGCCAGCCTGCAACGGCAATAATAGTAGCTTGTAAGCTTGTTAGGTGTGAAATATGCTTTTGGCAGTGCCTATTTTTGCTATTTCGTTTTGTTTGCCTATTAAATAAATAGCTTTTTCCCGGGCACGGCAAATCGATTGTGGGGAAAAGGATTGCTGAGCAAAAAGCGTATTTATTGGCTGTGTATTTAGGGTGAAAATTTAAATAAAATATATTTTTTGAAACGTTCTTTTTATATGGAGTGCAATAAAAAGATAAGCATTGGTTTCCAAAAACAACAGCCGGTGATTTTGATATGGGTTTTCTGTTTCTATACAATTTATAAATTTTTAAGTTGATTTAAATTAAAAAAAAATACATCATTTAATAAAAATTGATCAAATATGAATTCTAAAAAAAAGTATTTAATTTACTTTTGCACATTTACTAATTCCTTCATTTCGTAAATTAAATTAACGAAACACAAATTTTTAACCAACATGATAAAACATTTATTTGCCCTTTAAACGGCATGTAAATTTCTGTGTTTAATCAAAAATTACAAAGAAATCATCATAAAGTGGTCTAATTGTTCAGTTTGCGGCCCCAAGGCATTTTGACAATTAAATTGAGCATAAATCCAAACAAATGCTTGACTCTGATTTGCCAGCCTGGGGCGGAGTTTAATTAAACGCGCGAAAAACGTTGGAATTTTAATCGTTTAATTGAAAAACTTTAACCGTTAAGCGAGTCGAGAAGGAAATCGTGGAATGGGAATTGGATTACCGTGCCCTGCAAAAATATAGTTTGAATGGTATAATCCGACTAAAGCACACCTAAAAATATTATTTAAAATATAATTACATTTATTTTAACATTTAAATTTTACCCTTTGTTATATAAATATATTAAATGGTTGACCTAAATATTTTAAAATGTTATTAAATGCTCAACATAGCATAATGGTTCCATGGTCGAGTTTATTTTATTAAAATTGCTAAAGGCAATATATAAATGCTTGATCTAAATATTTTAAAATATCAAGATATCCATTTTTTTTCTTTATTACTATTTCCATGATGAATTTTAATAAAATTGCTAAAGGCACAATAAGATAATTTGTTGTGAGAATTTTCACTTTTTGTTGAATGAAATCCAATGGAATTATTCTGCATTGCTGGTCTCCTACAAAAATCCAGCGAATCCAGGCGTCGAAATCGAACTATTGCCTCATCCAAAAACTGGTTATAAAAACAGTGAAAACTTTGACGCGAAATCATCAAACGGATTTTTGAGCGACACTTTTTATCGCTTCGGGTTTTTGGTTGCTTTGTGGCAAAAACGAGTAACGCGGGCCAATGAGAAATTGCGACAGCTGATAGTTGACAGGCATCGCTCATACGCACCGTGCGCCAGTGCCTGTGACGGTGCCTGTGCCTCTGATGAACGTCAAAGTGAATGGTTTTTCCGGCTGCGTTTCGCTGGGCTGGGCAACATTAATTGACACGTGATAATTTAATTAACGTGGCAACCCACAAGCCTGGCAACTAGGAAGATCCAACAGCGAGCACATCGAAGATTCGGAGGAAGGATGGCGAGCCAGCTCGACTAATTGGGTCAGCATTTGGGCACGGAAAGGGGCAAAGGAGAAGGAGCAGGAGCAGCGTGTGTTCCATCCATCCATTGTTTTCCCATTGGCCCAGGGCCATCGTCCCCGGTGCCCGGAATGGAGTAGAGTGTCTCTTAATTACGGTGTGCGCGTGTTGGCATAGAGGGATTTTCTTGTTAGCCTCTAACACCACCCAAAGAGCCCCTGGAACCCCAGAAGCCCCTAAAACCCCAACAACCACCGCCACCACCGCCCTCTCATTAACCACTTTGCATTGTTCGCCACAAAGTATGAAACAATAATTGACAACGCGCAAGGCGGAAACAAAACGCAAACTAAACGAAAAGGGAACTTTGAACCAGAGCCCTCGGTATTTGCCTCATTATTCAATGGAAAAATGCTGTTTATGAAATTAATTATGATGGAATATATGTCTTCTCCAGTTTCTTTTTGACTCTAGATTTTACGATTTTTTTGCTTAAAGAAAAATCTGTTTATCAATAAAATTCTCAACAAAAAATTATGAAAAAAATAATAAAATAAATGTTTTTTAATAGTATTTAATATTTATAGTATTTCCCTAATTGTTTCTATTATTTTCTATTTTAAAATCTATTCCCTATTATTTCTTAATATTTTCCCGATTTATTTACGTTAAATTGAAACCAATTGCGCCGTCAAATATATTTTGCGCCAACAGCCGAAAATAAGATGAGCAAATGCGATATATTTGGTACACTCAATTTACTTAGCAAGGGGATTAAAATTAAACCTGATTTGCCCTTTGAACGGCTCAATTTTGTGATGTTGCAGCTGGCTGCCTTGGCCGGGATTTAATTACAAGGGCCAAAGCGGCTCCTGCAGTGCCAATGGCAATATAAATGGCAATGGTGATGACGATGGTGAAAGCGAAGCGCTTGGCCCGCATCTAAGCGCATTAAGTATGCGCCGCGTGCGCCAATTAGGTTGAGTCAGCTGCCTGGACTTACGGCCAGAATTGTGTGCTCACTTCCTTCGCCTTTCTTGCTCGCTGTTTTTTGTTTTTGTCGTTTCCCATCCAATGCGCTTACAAACCAATTAACCTTTTGCAGTGTAATCGCCTCGGGTTTCATTATTAGCCGAGGCGAAAGGTGCGGATTTGCGAAGCACTTATTTGTCTCATTTTGCAGTGCGGACAGCCTGAGTCGCCTGGCGACTCACCACCTTCATTGGCTGGCCATTAGCAAATCGATCGGCGTCCGGCAAATCTTCGAGCAGCGTTGCCGATTAACTTGTGGTCACATCAAATGCGATTCAATATCCTAGCAACCCATCAGGATACATTCTGTGACTGCCCAAAATGCCCAAAGCTCCATTCAATTTGCTTGAGCACTGGCTGGTTGGGGGATGCTTTTTAGGACCCTCAATTGTCGATAGTAATTGGTCACATTTCATAGGCATTTTCATTGATTTTTTACACAATTTTCTTAGCTAAGGAGAATAATATGGAAATTATCAGGCTCAGCTACGATCAATTTTGATTACATTATGACCGTTTTTAATGTCACATCTTGTTAAATTCATAATTAAAATCTCAATCGATTGGCGGTTTAGCCGGTAACCTTTTATTTCTTACAATTTTTCGCATAAAATTGTTGTAACCATATTTGGCCAAGTTACAGCAATGAAACATTAAGAAAAAACATACTTTTTTAAAAAAACCAGATCTTAACTTTAAAAGTATAAATATTATATATCACCACTTTGGAGTATAAAAAGGAACGAAATATGGTATGCCACGACTCAATTAATTGGCATTATAACTTGATAAATAATATATGTGGAAAATAAACCCCAACTCCTTTTGAAGACTTTAAATATTGTTAAAAATAAAAAGAATCATATTTTTTGGCTTGATATTGTTTAATATTTAGGTTCATAATTTTTTGAAGATTTAAGGATGTCAATGTAAAACGAAGTATTCTCGATTTTCCTCTATGAACTATTTATAATTTCTTTCTTTTAAGTTGAATTATTTCAGAGAATAAGTGTTATTAGCGATTTGGTAAGGAGTGCTATACTTTGGCTCACCGGACTTTGTGCTTGCCGTGATATATGCTTTTTTTGATGTAGGTATTTTTCAAATTTTTTTTAGAATTAAGTCTAATAAGGAACCTACAAGTAATTTTTGTTTTAAGAGTAACTCCGCCAATGTAGAATGCACCTGAAATATAAACAATATATTCGACATGTATTTTACATATATATATTATTTTTACTACACCTAGCAGAGACACCCACCACTGTCCACCTGCCAACGGGGACTGATGGCAATTTGTCATTGTTATCGATACGGTCCTACTGATTGTGTCCTTTTTTCGAAGCTTTGCTTTTCACTTAGGTATGTTTTCCATTTACTGCGATTTAAATGAAAAGTAACTTTAAATAATAAAGCAAACAGGCAAGAATGAGCGACAGCGAGGGAAACGACAGCTTCAGCTCGGCCCTGGAAGCCCCTTCGGTGAACATACGCTTTCCCCTCGCAAAGGCGGAGAAGGAAAGTCTGGAAAACAAATTGGATCGCATTGTTTGGATCCAGCAGACGGACTCCAAATACCACAAGGCTCTGGAGGACATGCGGGATCAGACGAGCATATCGCTGCTGGTGGAGCCCAGCTTCTATGGGCGCCACCAGGCCACCTCCGTTTTGGCGGTGGCCACGGCCAACGAGACGTACATCTTCGACATCAAGGCGCTGGGCCGCATCTTTCCGGAGCTGGGAAAGATTCTCGAGGCGGAGCAGCCACGCAAGGTGGTGCACTACAGCCACCGGATCGCCGATCACCTGCACCACCAGCATGGCCTGCGATTGGGCGGCATTTGCGACTCCTTTGTGGCTTTGTGTGTGGCGCGCCAGGAGCGAACGCCGTGCTCCCTGCCGGAGGCCATATCCCTGGTCTTCGGGCTGCCGCTGGAGGATCTGCTGTGCGAGGAGGTGATCGGGGCCAGCGAGTCGCGCCGGAACTTCACCAACCGCCCGCTGAGCCGCAGCCAACTGAGGTACTTGGCCAAGATGGTCCAGCTGCAGCACCTGATGCACGATCGCCTGATCTTCGACAGCATTTGCTCCGAGGTGCAGCGCATGTCGCTGGAGTTCAGCCACAACTACGCGGGCTACCGGTCCTGCGATGTGGCCATTAATATGCATCCCAGCAGCCGCTTTGGCTTCCATCTCATCGATCCCAGCTACAAGAGGAGCGACGAGGGAATCATGCTGCCCACGCCCGAGGAGATCGACCGCCAGGAGCTGGAGCACAAGAAGAGTCGCAAGTGAAGGGGATCCCGGCGATATATGTGCCTTCACACAACAAAAAAACTTGGTAAATTACCCAATATAGTTGTCAAACAGTCAACAACCACAAAAATTGTCAATTCTACCAATCAAATAGTTACTTTACCAACAACAAATACACACAATTAATAGGTAGAATTGATCATTTTTGTGGTTGGGTACTGTTTGACAATTATATTGATTAATCTTACCAAGTTTTTTATTTTTGTGTGTTATAGAAATAATACTTCCATCCGTTTGCATGCTGGCCAGGCATTCGCATGAACTGCTAATTTATTAAGCTAGGCTGTTTTATGATGTACAAGTAGATCATCGAAAATATAATATGAATAACTCACTAACTGAAACCATAATACCTTCTGCAAGGATGCAGACGTCTAATCTAAGAATAGGTTTTATAAAATAACCATTAATCACTATTTTTGAGTTTTATTTTATTCGATATTAATAAATCATATTTTGAGATTTTTAAAAGCTTTAAAAAGTTACTAACAACAATAATAAACATTTTTTCGATCTTAAGAATTTTAAAACTATACACAGCAATTGAATAGAAAGAAACCATTTTTGATCGTTTATTCTAATATTTTTTACTGCATTTTCAAGCAATCGCAGTATTGGGAATACCCAGCAAATATGTTTTAGAATTTCTTGTATTTTAATTTATAAATTGACGAGAATCAAAAAAAATAATAAGCAAATTAAATAAATAAATTCATGAGAATCAATAAATATTCTTATACAAACTAAATATTAACAATTTTTTGTTTATTTTTAAATCGGATCAATTCGTTTTATTTTATACATGTTTCGCATTTAATTTTCAAGTGTATCTATTAAATTATATCGATATCTTTCGATTGACGATCTTTCTGATTTGTCTAAAATTTGGTCACCTTAAAACTACTAGAAAATCAGCTGGCAGTCAAGAAAAAGAGGGAAACAATACAAAATCGGAAATAACTAAGCGTTAAATTAATAAATCTGGATAGAAACAAAGATGGGAAGAAAGTCCGGGAAGACAGTCCCAAGAAAGCCGAGGGTTCAAAGGACCATTAAAGCTGAAGAAGAATCAAATGAAGTTCACATAAAAACAGAGGATCCCGATGAGGAAACCTATCCGCAGACTGGGATTTATGAGGGTGAGCTGGGGATCAAGAATAAACTATTCAATCTCTAACGATAATTCCAATTTAGTGGTCATGCTGGATGCAGAAAACCAGGTTAAGGAGGAGTATGCACTGGAGGATCAGGAAGAAGACGAACAGGAACCAGAAGAGGACGAGATAAGCTATCGTTTGGCTGGCCCACCAAAATTTTGCTCAACTTGCTTGAAGGCTTTTCCCATCGAAGAGTTTCCCAATCATGACTGCATGAATAATATCAATGGCCTAAAGGAAGACGAGGAGATAAGCTATCGTTTGGCTGGCCCACCAAAATTTTGCTCAACCTGCTTGAAGGCTTTTCCCATCGACGAGTTTCCCAATCATGACTGCATGAAGGACAACAATGGTCCAAAATTGGACGAGGAAATGAGCTATAGTTTGGCTGGCCCACCAAAATTTTGCTCAACATGCTTGAAGGCTTTTCCCATCGACGAGTTTTCCTTCCACATCTGCAACAAATTACCCTGCAAAATTTGCCCCAAGAAGTTCCGATACCAGTCTCAGCTAATCAAACACCTAAGGTGAGTTGGTATCTACTAGAGATAGAATCCTAAAATAAAGAATATTATCCTAGAGTCTGTCAGAAAATATTTAGTATTGAATAAGGAATATTTCTAGATGGTAGAATATATTCATACACTTTGTGTTATAACGAATTAAAAATTTGTAGTACGAATACTAATTACATTATACTGTTTTATATTCCACAGAACCCACCTTAAACTGCAAAAGGGCGAGACCATGCCGGAATTGGAGGAGCCGAAACCAAAAAAATATAAAACCCCCCCGATAAAACAAAATGTGCAGTTTAACTACTCACCCACACCGCGAACGAAATTATCGCGACGAAGGGCAGAGATGCTGAAGCTCAGCGAAAGGCGCAACAGACAGAAACTGTGCCCATATTGCCCCATTGCCTTCACCAACGAATCTCACCTGGAGAAGCATCTGAGGAACCACCATGCCGAACTCATTTACTCGAACGAACTGATCACCCCAGATGCGAATTCGGATAGCACAGAAGATATTTGCGTCAAGTTAGAGAACGAGGAAACGGCATAAAACGAAATAGTGTTTGTATTAACTACAAATTGCTACTGAAATAATTAATTAAATATTATGTATGTACTCGTAAAAAGTTGTCATCAAAGGTTTCTTTATATCTGTATTTACACTATAGTTCTCTCCCTAAAAAAACAATAATTGCTTAACGTTTCATAGCTTTATATACAAAATGGTTAAATATAAGCTTAAATATATAATTAGGGATTTCTTACTTATTTTTTTATCTGATGAATATCAATTAATCGGTAGTATAAAAGGAATGAAAACATATTCGTTGAAATTAACTGAAAATTTGCGTTTTAAAGTTCCAAAGTTCATGTTCGCTCTGAATTTAAAATACCTACAAAACACTTTTTACATTCGACATACGTATTATTTTTCTACAATGTATTAAAAAAGCATTATATTTGGTCAATTAGCACTTAGAATAATAGTTTTTAGTTCCTGATAATTAACGAGCACTTGGAATAATAGTTGTAAGTTCCTGATAATTAAAATAGAACACTATAAATTAAGAAACAACTTTGTTTTCTCAGCTAACGTATTTGTACGTGGTAGGTCCACAAAGCTCCAGGTCTTCCTTCTTGGTCAAAGCATCAACTCTTTCTTTGATGAATCCGATAGATGGTGTAAAAAACTTCTTCAGCTCCTCAATAACAAGTGAAAATAGCTGCGATTTTTCCAAGATCTTATGCTTTTTCATAATGCGCATTATTGCAGCATCCATATTGAACTTTCGCTCATGCCTTAATTTATGATCATCTTTCTCTTCAATTTTTCTCGTTTTAGCTGCATCCGCAGTCTTGTTAAAGTTAAGTCGGCGCTTCCTGTTTGTAAAATCCGAATTCACTTCCACAGAAGACCCGCTGGAAATGAGAAATTTGATATGTATCCAAAATGCGAGTACCTAAATTAAATTAAATGAATTAGAATTTGATTTAAGAGTGATAAGTAAGATATTAACAAACCGGTTTAATCGTCTCGATGTTTGTTCCCAATCGTTCCGCCAACTCGTCCGCCGTGAAACTTTCCTGTTCGTTGAAGAGCAACAAAATCGACATTTGCAAAGTGCTCACCTCAAGGATATGGGTCGACTGACCAGCATTCCAGATTATCTCGCCACAGGATATTTGGTGATTGAATACAATTACACAACGTTTCTCTGTGTGAAATTTTGCAAACTCCTGTACAGCATTTTCCAGTTCGCTCGGCAGAATTAGCTTAAAATTCTCATCACGTCCTCGGTTGCAAAAATACTTGAGACGAAAATCAAATCCCAGTTTAATGCCATTGATTTTTAAATGATTTTGGAATTTATCATTTACTCTCTTGGAATTTTCGAAATCCTTCAACTGGTCAGTTAGTTCTGCAGTTACATTTTGTCCGAGTCTCTTGGACAGCAGGGAAATCATGGTCGACTCATTTCCGTCCCACGATGATGACTCTTTGATTTGTCGCGTTCTCAGAACTCTCCAATATTGTTGAATGAACTTGTCCTTATCGTTCAGGAACTCCATAACATCAACGATACGCTTAAGTTCTTCTGTAATTTCCTCCCTGGACTTCTTCGTCATTAGTTCGTTGGAGTATGTGATTAACAGACCGATGGGATTCCGTTTCTGGTCCATTCTGTTAATTGCATCCGTGCACACCTCATCGATCACGGCCACCAGAGGTTTGTGATCCCGCATGGCCCGCTCCAAGGCGCTTCTTCGTGTTCCCAGGATGGCTTGTATGTAATCCTTTCCTCCCAATGATTTCGCAATGGCCTTTTCTAGCAGCAAAGCAAGGTGCTTCTTCAGAACTGCCTTAAACTGCAGCCCCTCTTGGATTTCTGGCATGGCTAGGCAGGCGTATTTGAGGAAGTGTTTGAAATCTGAGAAGATATTTGAGGAGATGATCCTTTGGAATTCGGCCAGGGTCTCTGACTTGTAGAAGCCCACCACTTCCTCGGTGAAAACATTGTTCAGTTTGGCTGGCACCGGCACTTCTTGCCTCTCATCATTGGCATACAGCTCGACAATCGATCGAAGCGCCTGGTAGACCAGGGATCTGGTACTTTCCCTGGGCTTCTGCCTTAAAGTCAGACTAATGGCGGTGACCAAGGCCCTGTCGATGGGACTGAAGACCAGCTCCTTCCACCGGATCATGGCCAGGCGATAGACGTGATGAATGTGCTTGTGGCCCTCGAGCTGCTCTTGTTTCACCCAGTTTTGGTTGAGATACCGACATCCTCGATCCAAATCCTCGCAGGCTTTGCGATAAAGCTGCCAGTGCTCGACGTACCTAACGATTAATTCCTCGTCACTCAGAATATTTTCCATTCCCGTTGATATTTCTTTGAGTAAAGCGTTCAGGTAATGGGTCAATGCTTCGTATAGATGTTTTCCCGGCTCCTGGGAACCCACACTGGGATTGTGAATAAAACTGGAGCAGTGGTAGTAGACATAGTCGTGGAACTCCATGAGATCCTTGCAAGCAAATGGAGTGTGGTCATCGAAGAGCTGCTCCAGAAATCGCGACTCCTTCTGCCAGAGTTCCTCCAAGGACGACATGTGATTACGGCGTCTGTCGACACGATTCATTGCTAAAAACTTATTGCACCTTAGACCATTAAATAATAAACAAAGAACCTTGTTAATTTAGGGGGAATCACGAAAAATTCATTCAGCTTACCTGCACCCCAAGTATTTAAATATTTCCTAGTGGAGTAATTTCTGTTGTTTGTTGGGACTTAATTCTTAGATTTTTTGTAAATGGAAAGTATTACATCGGCAGAGAGTTCTTAAGTGTTTCCTTTAGGCAATGATTAATAATTTTTATATATGTAGTTTAGCGATCGTAGCTCTTATCAGTCTGGAGTCTAGACTCACTTATCGATATCGGGAGCTAATACCCTTTTCGCATAGAGTACATCCGTGTGAAACGGTTGGGACTAAACTCGTGTTCCCACAGAGCACATCCACCATCCAAAAAAAGCCGACTTATTAATAAACAAATTTGTAAACAAAATCAAATTTGTGCTGTTTTGAGAATTTATAGCAACTTTGGAACTTTATAGAAATATGTGCAGAACATATTCTGAGACTTTGCTGCAAACATTATTGTTTTTGTTCGGAGAACAGCTAGCATTAAGGCCCAAAAAAGCTAAAATAATTTAACAAAAGCCAAAAATTAAATTTTTTCTTGCCCTCGATATCAATTTTTACAGTTAAGGGCTAGTACTCAACCCAACAAAAAGTCGTCCAAAACAAAAACTTCATATGAAACAAAATTTTTGAACGTTGTTTTTCATATGAAGTTTTTTGTTTTGGACGACTTTTTGTTGGGTTGAGTACTAAGCCTAAGAGGAGAAATTCAGAGTTGCACTGAAAAAAACTATTCAAAACGAGTCTATATTATCTTGGCCACAGTCATAATAACCATAGCTGAAAAACAGAATTATTGAGAGCCTTTTTTTTGGGAAATTACAAAACGAGTGTATTCCGATTCCAAAGATTCAAGATTCATTTAGAATCAATTGTAAATTATGAATAAATATGACTGATAAATAACCCATAATTCCATATCTCAAAATGTTTTTTGTTGTATACCACTCAGAAAAATAAACAAGGTGATCTTGTATTTATTGAAATGCTCATTTATGGCAATAGAAAAACTTAATAGGTTATAAATTTACATAAAATAAAATTAAATTGTTCGACGCATACAAAATCGCTCCCTACATTCTTCACATCTTCAAAAAGAAAAGGTTCCGTTTCTTTTTAATCTTTTCCAAAGCTGGTGCTGGTTCCGACTCGTCGACGTCCTTATCGAGGTCCGATTTCCTCCCCTTGCCCAATTTATTCTCCTCCTTAAGTTTCTTTCGTTCCTTCTTCGACAATTTCTTGGACGACTTGTCTGCGGTTTTCGGGTCAACTGGCTCCTCGCGCTCGGAATTGTAGATATGCAGTCGGTTCTTAATGCTCATATCCTCTCGAGCCTCGCGAACTCTATCAGTCTCTAGGCTATCAATTACCTCGTTGCGCATCTCAACCACCTTCACAAGGCGATTGATTAATACTTCTTCGTGGGCTTTATCTGAGTCGGTTTTGTTATGCTCCGGCTGACCCATTAATACTCGAATTTCATGCTCAATGTCGGCCTGCTCCTGTTCCAAACGATGTTGTCGTCGAAGGTACATGAGCTCTGCTTGCCTGCGGAACAATTCGTTCTTTTCGTTGACCAGCTCGAAAAGTTGCAATATAAGATCTTCTACCTCCTTGGAGTTGGTTATCTCAGAATCCACCGATTCGGCACCATCGGTTTCTGCGGCATCCAAGGAGCGCTCACAACGATCCCTGATCATCTTTTCGAGTATAACGCCCTGTTTCTCGAGACCCAACTGCTGCACGGCAATAATTTCGAATTCGTGGCGAATTTCTTGCAGCGGCAGACGTTGCAAGACTTTTCGCGGTGGTATTGGGACCGCTGGAGCTGGTCCCTTCCGCCTCTTCCACTTGCCATGCGTTGATTTATTGTAGCCCAAGGGGCTGACGTTCCTATCAAAGTCGTTATAGACGATCGGGTTCTTCTTATCCTCCTCGCTTCGTTCACTTAGGTTTTCGGGCTGAGTTGGTGGCACCAAAATGCGACGATATACCACGTTTACCTCTTCGTCTGCATTTGAGGTACTCAAGCTGTCGTCGTAATTGCTCGACTCGGTTGCTTCATCGGAGAGCAAGCTCTGGTCAAGCGGTATCAATCTTCGGACCTTTTGTTCGTCCGATAGTTTGGAAAATCCAGGATCACTCTCAAAGTTGGCCTGCTTTGGAGGCAAGGGTGCTTGGCGCTTCTTGCGCATTGGAGAAGTAATGGAGCTGAGACTGGTGGTGGGACTTAGGTCATCGCTTTTCAATGGACTCTGGGCAACTGGGGCACGAAGTGGTTTGCGCGGGGCATTACCGGATGGCAAGGAGACACTTGAGCCACGGTCATCTGCTCCACGGTCGAATGGTCTCAAGTTATCCAAGTGCTCCGTTGACGAAGAGGAGATGTTGCAATTGTTTTTCTGGTTTTCTGGTTTTGAAATAGATATTCTAGGCGTAGGCATCGGCAATTTTTTGCCTTGCGAAAGTGTTGGGCTGGAATGTTGATCCTCTGAGGGCTTAGCAAAGGCTGGGCCTATTTTAGGTGGCGGTGGACGGGGCGGTACTACTTTATCTCTTTTTATAACTGAGCTTTGGCTCTTTTGGGCTGGAATGTCTTTGAGAAGCTCCACCTCATCGTCGGAGCTGTCGAAGGGATTGGCTCCCTTAATCGAATCATCATCTTTGAAAGGATTTAGATCCTCTGGATACTCAGTTTCAGCTAATGTTGTCTCACTTGTAATCTCCTTGGGAGACTCGAGATTTTCCTGTTTTTCCTGCTTAGAGCAGCTGTCTGTTTTTGAGAAAATTTCATTTTCTGTACTACTTTCTATATTGTTTTCAGGCTTAAAGGCTTCTTGGGGGTCATTTTCTGGAATCGGCGCTTCTTCTGTCTCTGGAATGAGTATATCCGACGAATTGTTCGGGCTAATCACTTCTTGTTCATCAGTTTTTTCCGATGGAATTGTTTCTACAGGAGGATGGGTATCCTCAATGTCTAGTGCAACGGTAGAGATCTTAAGTTCCTCTGTTGGTTCATTACTTTCTTCGGGAAGAACTCTGTCTTCCTCGTCTAGTGGTGGAGCAGTAGCAGGTAAAGCAGGCGCTGCAGGATCAACTTCTAGCTGATCACTTTGCTCAGTACTTATAGGTTTATCATCTTCAGTTTGTTCAGCTAACTTGGACGGCGTTTTACTGCTCAAAGAGGCACTTTCATTGTCTTCCACGTCTTCCTGTTGATAACTAGATCGATCGGGACTTTGATCGCCCTCTGATTCACTCTCCTCATCGGGACAAGTCTCGCAGCAGTAGATATTATTGACCTCCGTTTCGTAAAAACTCCCGGGCGTGAGTAATGAGGAACAGCGGGCGCATTTCAAGCAAGTGCGGTGATAAGCCCGCTTCCCCACTAGGACTCGTTCGGCCAGAAAAACCGGGAGCTCGCATTTCTGGCACTTATCACGCCGGGGCATTCCCACAATATGCATCATCTTCTGCGGTGGCTCCTCGGGTTCCTCGGGAAACTTCTCCTCCGGCTTCGGATGCTTGAGGCCCTTGCCGAGCACCTTGTAGAACTGGGATAGATACGTTAGAATGGACAGTCTGTCGGGCACTTCATACGAAACCATGTCCGATGCATCGAGCAGCGCCGGAATGCCCAAGTATTTCTCGGCCGTGGTGAAGGCCAAATCGTTGTTCTCATAGATATCGGCTGGCTTCAAACTGTTGAAATCTATGAGATCCGGTCGAAAGTGATGGATGATGGCGCAGAAGGCCAGGCCGTCGCGCCACGAAGTCGTCATGTTCTCCACCTTGACTCCATTGTATCCTTGGGTGTTCACTCGGCACCAGTACTCCAGAGCCTTGGTTCCAGTGCCAACCTTTGTGCCACGACGATCGGTCATCTTGGTAACTGCTGGTTAACTGCTGGCCTATCGCTTAAGTAATCCGAACGAAAACAACTCGGACAAATTTGGGACTAAGCAAACAACAGAAAAAACATTATGCCACTTGAGTTGCAAATAAAATCAGTTCTGATTTCTCTGGCGAAAATTACATTTAATGTAAACAAGGCAAAGCGGTGACTCAAATAATCTCAAGACAATCAGCCTTAGTGGTGGGAGAGTGAGAATATATCGTGGAATCGATGTTTTATCGATACATTATATCAGGGACAAAAAAAATCATGCCATTGTAATTTACAAATCCGTAATGATTATGATAAACTCAAAAATTAAGTGTTATTTGTTGATTTTGAAATTTTTTAAAAAATTAAATAATTTAAAAAAACCGGCTTTTATATAACTTACTAAAAAATTGTTAACAAAAGGCAACCGCGCATATCGTACAACTATATTTTTTAAAATTTTGTTTACCCACAAAATCGCCATAAATCAAGTTTGAGTCTTATTTTCGATCACGACGAATAACTATTTGATAACTGAATAACTGTATTCTTTGAGTTTTACTTTACAAATAAAAAAACGACTGTTAAAATGTAATTTTAAAAATAAAACATTGCAGTTACGGTCCCTGTATAATAAACTTGTAAAAACAAATATTTTATTTAAATAGTTTAACGATAATAAATTAGAGGGTGTTTGGTATTGGTGGTGGTGTGGTCTTTGGAAAAACTAATTTTCTTAATTGTTTAGCTTTTTACCGATTGTTGATCGTTGATCACTGAAGGATCAGTAATAAGTAATGGATTCTGCTGAAAGCTTATAAAAAATTACTAAAAACAAGTATTTTTCCCGCCTCCGCAGCTGCAGCATACCCAACAGCTATCGTGGATACATAAAAATCAGAAACGGCTGAACAATTATAATGAATTTTTCCGAATTCATGTTTTTTTTAAATTATAATGTGAATAAATTTTGATATTTTTCATATCGATTGATGACAGAAGGAAGTCATTCGATTCGGCCCCCAAACAGCGAAAAATTTAAAAATTAAAATAGATCCAGTGTTCCAAACACCACCGTTCCAATTTTGTTGCTAACTCATCGACGCTAATTTGACGTACTTATCGCATTTTTACCCGCGCAATTTGACGGTATTATGAGTATGGTATTTTCCCTTTGCGCGGTCACACTTAATGCTTCGACTTAATACGAGACGCAGCAATACATATGATCGTATGCGTAGATCAGTCCACTCAGACTCACAGCCTTTGAAGGAACCCGCACAGTTCGAGCCGTGCAAGGGACCTCGTGGTGTGGATTCACTATTTTAGGTTAAATAAAATTCAAACACATACCAACCATCTCTTTCACTGCTGAAATCAAAGAAAAAAATATATATGCGTAGATCATAACGGCACAATTGCACAAATACAAAATTAAAATTCCACCATAAATCCAAATTTCAATGAATTTGGCCCAGCTTGTTTTATTCGGAACATAATATATGACAGCCGCTACAACGGAATGTCCGTTGATTTTTACATAGAAATCCGAAAATAGTTATTAAGATGTTATTAAAAAAAAACTGCAATTACGGTCCTTGTTTCTGCGCCGTAAAAGTTTATTTAAAAAATAAATTAAAACCCTATTTAGGTTTATAGAAGCTCATTTGCAATATTTTAATAAAAATGTTAAATAAAATTAAAAAAAAATGTTTAAAGATAAAATTAAAACTAAAAAACGCGCACAAACAAAACTTAATACTTCCACAGGGATCTCGCCGTGTTTCTCATGCATGTGCCTTTCCGGCTCTTGTATACCCAAAATTTTGGAAAAGGCACGGCGATAAGGGACAGATCTCACTGTTTTAAACAGCGGGTATAAAAATATATTTATTATGTATAATTATACTCCGTTAGAAATTCCATTTCCTCCCGGTAGCGGAACTCCCGCCCTGTCCGCAAACAGGAGACAAACTCCTTCCGGAGCATTCCCCACCTTTTTCGGCAGAAACTTTCTGTGTTTAGTGTATCCACTATTTTGGTACAGGCATGGGTGGGCTTTAACGATGGCGATTAGAGCCAGATCCTCTTCGCTTCTAAAAACGGGAATAAAACCCATGCCTGTGCCCTTCCGGCTTTTGTTGAGGCACAACTTTGGTACAGGCACGGGTGGCTTGCCACAACGGCCATGATCCTCTGCGTTTTTGGAGAAAGGAATAAAACCAAATATTTAATATCGATCAAGTAAGATAGCTCATCATTACTCATTACTCACCGTATGTGTCGCTTAAGGAAAACCAGCTCCTGCCGGTACCTATATACCCTGCCGGATTTGAGGAAGGCCGCATACTCCTTCCACAGCAGAGCTCACCGTTTTTGGCAGGAGCTTTCTGTGGATATAAAATTATTGCTGTCTAAATCGAAATATAAAATACCTATAAAATATACCCAATGGTTCTTTTGACCGTCCTTGCCACTTCCACCCATGCCTTTGCCCTTCGGGCTTTAGTGTACCCACTATTTTGGTACAGGCATGGGTGGGCTTTAACTGCGGCGATTAGGGACATATCCTCTTCGCTTCTGAAAACAGAAATAAAACCCATGCCTGTGCCCTTCCGGCTTTTGTGGAGCCACAACTTTGGTACAGGCACGGGTGGCTTGCCACAACGGCCATGATCCTCATGCCTGTGCATGGGTGAGTCTCCACAACGGCGATGAGCGCCATATCCTCTTCGCTTCTGAAAAGCCACAACTTTGGTACAGGCACGGGTGGCTTGCCACAACGGCCATGATCCTCATGCCTGTGCATGGGTGAGTCTCCACAACGGCGATGAGCGCCATATCCTCTTCGCTTCTGAAAAGCCACAACTTTGGTACAGGCACGGGTGGCTTGCCACAACGGCGATGAGGGCCAGATCCTCTGCGCTTTTGGAGAAAGGAATAAAACCAAAAATTTAGTGTATCCACTATTTTGGTACAGGCATGGGTGGGCTTTAACTGCGGCGATTAGGGACATATCCTCTTCGCTTTTGAAAACAGGAATAAAACCCATGCCTGTGCCCTTCCGGCTTTTGTGGAGCCACAACTTTGGTACAGGCACGGGTGGCTTGCCACAACGGCCATGATCCTCTGCGTTTTTGGAGAAAGGAATAAAACCAAATATTTAATATCTATTTATTGCTTACCGTATGTGTCTCTTAAGGAAAACCAGCTCCTGCCGGTACCTATAGACCCTGCCGGAGTTGAGGAAGGCCGCATACTCCTTCCTCAGCAGGGTCCACCGTTTTTGGCAGGAGCTTTCTGTGGAAATAAACTTATGGCTGTCTAAATCGAAATATAAAATACCTATAAAATATACCCAATGGTTCTTTTGACCGTCCTTGCCACTTCCACCCATGCCTTTGCCCTTCGGGCTTTAGTGTACCCACTATTTTGGTACAGGCATGGGTGGGCTTTAACTGCGGCGATTAGGGACATATCCTCTTCGCTTCTGAAAACAGAAATAAAACCCATGCCTGTGCTCTGTGCTTTTGTGGAGCCACAACTTTGGTACAGGCACGGGTGGCTTGCCACAACGGCCATGATCCTCATGCCTGTGCATGGGTGAGTCTCCACAACGGCGATGAGCGCCATATCCTCTTCGCTTCTGAAAAGCCACAACTTTGGTACAGGCACGGGTGGCTTGCCACAACGGCCATGATCCTCATGCCTGTGCATGGGTGAGTCTCCACAACGGCGATGAGCGCCATATCCTCTTCGCTTCTGAAAAGCCACAACTTTGGTACAGGCACGGGTGGCTTGCCACAACGGCGATGAGGGCCAGATCCTCTGCGCTTTTGGAGAAAGGAATAAAACCAAAAATTTAGTGTATCCACTATTTTGGTACAGGCATGGGTGGGCTTTAACTGCGGCGATTAGGGACATATCCTCTTCGCTTTTGAAAACAGGAATAAAACCCATGCCTGTGCCCTTCCGGCTTTTGTGGAGCCACAACTTTGGTACAGGCACGGGTGGCTTGCCACAACGGCCATGATCCTCTGCGTTTTTGGAGAAAGGAATAAAACCAAATATTTAATATCGATCAAGTAAGATAGCTCTATTTATTGCTTACCGTATGTGTCTCTTAAGGAAAACCAGCTCCTGCCGGTACCTATAGACCCTGCCGGAGTTGAGGAAGGCCGCATACTCCTTCCTCAGCAGGGTCCACCGTTTTTGGCAGGAGCTTTCTGTGGAAATAAACTTATGGCTGTCTAAATCGAAATATAAAATACCTATAAAATATACCCAATGGTTCTTTTGACCGTCCTTGCCACTTCCACCCATGCCTTTGCCCTTCGGGCTTTAGTGTACCCACTATTTTGGTACAGGCATGGGTGGGCTTTAACTGCGGCGATTAGGGACATATCCTCTTCGCTTCTGAAAACAGAAATAAAACCCATGCCTGTGCTCTGTGCTTTTCTGGAGCCACAACTTTGGTACAGGCACGGGTGGCTTGCCACAACGGCGATGACCTTCTGCGTTTTTGGAGAAAGGAATAAAACCAAATATTTAATATCGATCAAGTAAGATAGCTCTATTTATTGCTTACCGTATGTGTCTCTTAAGGAAAACCAGCTCCTGCCGGTACCTATAGACCCTGCCGGATTTGAGGAAGGCCGCATACTCCTTCCTCAGCAGAGCTCACCGTTTTTGGCAGGAGCTTTCTGTGGATATAAAATTATTGCTGTCTAAATCGAAATATAAAATACCTATAAAATATACCCAATGGTTCTTTTGACCGTCCTTGCCACTTCCACCCATGCCTTTGCCCTTCGGGCTTTAGTGTACCCACTATTTTGGTACAGGCATGGGTGGGCTTTAACTGCGGCGATTAGGGACATATCCTCTTCGCTTCTGAAAACAGAAATAAAACCCATGCCTGTGCCCTTCCGGCTTTTGTGGAGCCACAACTTTGGTACAGGCACGGGTGGCTTGCCACAACGGCCATGATCCTCATGCCTGTGCATGGGTGAGTCTCCACAACGGCGATGAGCGCCATATCCTCTTCGCTTCTGAAAAGCCACAACTTTGGTACAGGCACGGGTGGCTTGCCACAACGGCCATGATCCTCATGCCTGTGCATGGGTGAGTCTCCACAACGGCGATGAGCGCCATATCCTCTTCGCTTCTGAAAAGCCACAACTTTGGTACAGGCACGGGT